TGGCCTTCCAATCCTAAATCTTGTCATCTCACAAAGCTTAGAAAAATAGGGGCAATAAACTGATGCCCTTTAATACCTACTGCAGAATGACCTATTATACGAAACGATGGTCTCCAAATGTGTATATACATTTTAACATCATAAAATTGAATATTTGTTTAAAGGAATTTATGAGTATCCATCTGGATGAATCCTCTCATGAAGCAAAAATTTCTGGGCAAAAGTAAGTCGTATTTTATTTCCTAGTTTGGATGTCTAATTCATTATTGCAAAGAGACGACAAATAGAGTGACTTCCCTATAGCCTTAATTAAATATAACGAGGTTTCCATGTCCAAGCTGTAATGGTTAATTTTATGTGTCTACTTGAGTGAGCCAGGGAGCCCAAACATTTGCTGAGACACGAGTGTTGGTGTGTTTGTGAGGACATTTCGGGTGAGATTAACATTCGAACGGGTAGACTCTCCCCAATATGGGTGGGCCCCATCCAATCCTTGAAGGTCTGAACAAAAATGCTGACCCTCCCAGGAATAAGAGTAAATTCCTCCTTCCCAGAAGCATTCAAGTCAGGACACTGGTATTCTTCCTGCCTTTGGACTTGAACTGAAATATCAGCTCTTCCTGGGTCCCGAGCCTACCAGCCTACAGGCTGGATCTACACTGTCACCTCTCTTGGTTGTCGGGCCTTCAGACTTGGACTGGAGCTAAGCTTGCAGACACCTTGGGACCTCTCCACCTCCATAACTGCATGAAATAACCCCTTACATTCTATCTATCTGATCCCATCTCATCCCAACTTTCCCTATTTCATCCGAGCCTGATGGTTCTGTTTCTCTGGAGAACTGTAATACACTAGCTAATAAACCTATATTGATATTAATGATATTGATAATAATACAGCTTATGTGAATACAATAAATTCTGCTCAAACAGTTCTTATATAAATTCACGAGTCCCTGTCATTTTAACAGGATCTAATTGCAAAGACCATCAGTTTTGGTATACACAATGGCATTAAAACCGTATTTTCTTTGTATGATTCTTAATAGTAAATGCAAAATCATGTAGAGGTGATTTCAGGGATGTTTGATATGTAGGGTGTCAGATTTGGGGGACAAGAGAAGGAGTGAGCCATCATTTGAATGGGCCCCGAATACTCATTGCGTGAGCTGACAAGAACTCTTTCCAAAGAAAAAATATCAACTCACTGTAAATAATACGGGAAAGATTAATATTTTATACTGTGTACTTGCAGGTATAAGGAAAAAACAGAAAGAGACACTGTTTATGGAATAGAAAAACATATAACTCTCTCCAATTTGCTTCTAACAGAGTGTAGCAGAGATCTACTTTACGAAAATATATTTTAAAAGCAATAATACCATGATGAATCTCTGCCGAACACTACAACTATAGTTTTCCATTTTTACCAAATTTGTTTAGCGGAACTATAAAATGTTTTAAGCTTGCTACATCCAAATTCCACTATTCGTAAGATAAGTAAAACCTGCATATGAAAGGGTCAAAATTTATTTATAAACTCCACAGAGTTCTTTTCAGTGAAAATATATAACAATTATACAAGCGCATATACACACACACATAAACAAATACACACATATATTCGCCCCAGCAAGATACCTATCCTGTTATCATTGTCTTAACTCTCTAATTGATTGCAGATATGCTCATCCTGATTCATGGTGAAAAGGAGTCTTGTGTCATTCATGGTGACCTCTTAGACTCTGAAGTAACTGCCGAATAACGATAACGACGATCACGATGACGATGACGCTAATCAGTGCTGACATGTATATAGTGTTTACTACTTGTCATACTCTGTGCCGAGAGCGCCACAGAAATTAGCCATTGTAGCCCCCACGAAATCCCAGCGACAGGCACCGTTACTGTTCCCGTTTTACGAAGGAGCAAAGTAAAACGCACAGAGACCACATTCTCTAAGCAGGTAAGATACCTTTCAAAAATCAGTTTGTCTTAGTTTGTAATATTAAAAAACTGGATACTCCCTAAATACTTGAGTTATATTATGAAAAAACTGGAAACTCCCTAAATACTTGAGTTATATTATGATATAAACTATAGAGTATCATCCATGCACTTAAAAGCAAAGATTATAAAACAACACGAAAATGCATAAGAGACAACATTAAGCAGAAGAAAATCAGAATATAAAATTGCGTTTTCACACTGATGATGACCATGTTAAGAGTCAGCCACCTGCCCAGCCAAGGATCAGGACTTGGGGTCCCAGGCAGTCAGGCAACTGCCCCCAGTCCCCCCTGCCTGCTGACAAGCTGAACCCCACTCAATACACGCTCCCGCGACTCACTCTGAACCCCGCGTTCTAGCCTTCGCCTTCCGGACTTCTGGACTGGAGTCCTGGAGCCACTGAGCCAGCACTGCTGTCCCCAAATCCAGAGGCCCTTCCCTTCCTCACTCACCTCCACCTGTGCATGTGCTTCCTTGCCAGTCATTGCCCCGAAAACGTCCTGAGGACGGTCCCGTGGGCGGACGATGCCCCCCTCGCCTGGCTCCCCGCCTTACTCTGTGAGCAAAGGAGCTGCTCAGGGCTCTGAACCCCTTCCTCCGTGGCAGTCGCCCGTAAATGTGCAGTGAGCCCTAAAGCCCACACCTGCTTTCTCAACTGCCCACGGCACATCTCCACACAGACCTGCTGCTGCCACCAACGGCCACCTCGTGTGAGAGCCCCTCGGCCTTCCCGCAGCCACCCCGGCCTCGGACTCCCGTTTCTCCCCGCGACACCGCTTTGCTCCAGCTCTCCAGGCGCATCACCGCAATGCCAGGCGGTCAGGGCTCTGTCCACACAGCTCCAAATTCCCGTCCTGCCCCGTCGTCGGTGCCTGCTCCGGGATCTGGAACAGGAACCCGTGTCTTCCCCGGCGCAGGCCGAGCTCCCGCTCCCTCCCTGGAGCCCTCAGTGTCCCTTCCCGCTTGTCACCTCCGCTCAGGTCTGTTTTCGCCACCTTGAGGGAACTCAGGCTTCCTCTGTCCTGTAAGGGGTATCGAGTCCTCATTTATTAGGCTGAAGCACAGGAAATGTCTGGCTGTTTTAACCTGGGCCACGTGGCTCAGCCTAATATTCCTCTTGATCTTGGAACCCCACACAGAGCGGCCCCCACAAAAGCAGGGATGGGTTTGGCCCGTCTTTGGGATCCCCTGAGAATCCCAGAGCGTTAGAAGTTTTTAAGAAGCATCTCTCAAAATAGAGACTCTGAATCAATACATAGCTTTTCCATCAATGGTTGTAAAATTCCATCTCCTGTCACGATCAGTCTGACCGATCTGCTCGGGCAGGTGGCAGAGGTGTGATGCTGCGGACCCCGGAACCGCAGAACGCCTGGCGGGACAAATCACTTAGGTTCAAGGAGCTGTTTTAAAGTCGTTTGTTTGTGGAGAAAACATTCTTGGATTTAGAGGTTGGCAGCTACGGTAAAAGCTTTTTAGCTGACTGAAATAAAAAAAAAAAAATCAAAACCCTCTTCAGCGCAGACACCTCCTTATAGAAACAAACTGCCTAAAAGCCAGGCACAGCAGTTTGTGGCCCAGAGCTAGCACCTCTGCCCTCAGCGGGAGCCGCCCACGGGTGGGGCCCCTGCATTTCTACAGCATCCTTTGTACCTTGAACGCATCTCACAAAGCGGGTAATGTCAACGTGGAGGAGACCGAGCAATGGACGTCAACAGGAGGGGGCTCTGTGTGGCTGGACACAGCTGCTCCTGGACAGAGCGGGGCCTTACACGTCTGCAGACAGGAGCACAGTGGACCCGAGCTGGCTCCGTAAAAGGAAACCTGTCTGCAGGGTGCTCTGGGTCCCCAGAGAGCATGTCCTCTGTCGTGCTTCCACAGGGAGTAACTTCTCCCTGTGCTGAAGGGCATGCTTCCCCAGCGCATGACGGCCAAGACTCCTAGGTGACAGCACTGTCCTCCCGTCGCCCAGCTAGTGCTCCCCTTATCCCTCCGGAGTCCCTGTTCCGGGCGGAACCCCAGATGCGGGGACGCGGGCTTCGTGGAACTGGGGATGGTGGGGGCGGGGGAAGGCACGCATCACACACACCCACGCACACGCACACATACACGCCACACATGCCACACACAGGGCACACAGGGCACACGCCACACACACACACACACACCCCCCACACACGTGCCACACACACACATACACAGCACACACGTGCCACACACAGGGCACATGCCACACACACATGCACACCACACACACAGGACACACACAGGCACAGCCACACACACACACAGGCACACGCCACACACACACACGCGTGCGCACCACGCACCCACACGCGCGTGCCCTGCTCCCTCTCTCACATTTCGGGGCCCATTCTAGGGATAATTTCCCTGGAGCTTGATGAAATTCAGCACGGAGGTGGCCTTTCTGCCATGCTCCATCCTCCCTCATCACCAGCTTCAGACCAATCACGGGGGTGGGGGCGGGGGCGGGGCAAGCTCCAGACTCCCCCCTGTGACTGGGGCCCTGAGCGCGGCCCTTCCCCGCCAGCGCCAGCAGCAGGCTCCCCTCTCTCCTCCAGGGGTCACAATTGGGTTGCAAATCCCGCACCGCACAGCGAGTGAGTAGCCTGATTGGGAGCAGTTTATTCGAATCCTTCCTCATTAAGATTCAAACGGAATAAGTAGGTAGAAATTGAACAGACACCGAGATCGTGCCTTGCTGCGTGCACAGTCAGTAAACGTTTATGCACTAAGCCCAGTTTGTGTGTTTTCTCTCTCTCTCACGGTTGTTCTTCCAACCCGTCCTGCTTGCTGTTTTAATGCATAATTAAGAAGGTCAGAATTAATGAAGCGGTGTGGAGTAAAGTTCAAGGAATCCCCAGGCACTATTTATTCTATTAGATGTCAGGCATGAATGTCAGCTTGGCAGCGCCAGCCGCATGAGCAATGGGGCTGGCTGCATTTCAGGAACAGCCCACCAAGGAGACTCACCTGCACCATCAAGTCATTCTTGAGCTCCTTCCCTGCGAAAATCACACGCAACTGGTCAGCCGGAACCCCCTGTCGCTTAGCAACCACCTCCTTGAGCTGAAAGATGCTGGTGGCGGAATCGACCTCCACTGGGAAACCATGGCTGGAGTTGAACCTCACAAACACTGCCCAAGACAATTGGAGGGGAGAAAAAAAGAAAGTGAGCATTCGTCAAAGCTCTCAAGTGGCCACAGCAACGTTTCTGAACCAACCCTGACCCAATCTCAGCCCACGGTGAACGGCATACGTTTCCTTTCGCGTACAGCGCTGTCGAACGAGGCTTGGAGAAACAGTTTCCCTTTCGTGTATTAGCCAGTGACCCACAAAGAAAACTTCACGCTCCTTTCGACGTCTGTCCTGGGGAACGGGACCCGGGCGGAGCGCTTCCTCGCCTGAACTGTAAGAGTCCCTTGAGTTTTTCAGAGATTCGCCTCTGACAGCCCGTGCGGACACAGGCTCCCTCCACCGTGTCCCCCTACACAGAACTCAGACGCATCGTGTTCGCGCTCTTGGTACAGGAGGTCCTCGTTCTGTGACCTTAAGTGAAACAACGGTCATGAAACCAGTTCTACCCTGGGCTCGTTGACGTAAACAAGAGCTAAGGTCCTACTGCGTCGCATCGACATTATAAGGAAACGAAATTATTTAGGGACCTGCTCTATAGCAAGTCAAGCTGCATTAAAGACGAGGGAGCAGACCTCCCACCCCCACGCCCCACCCCAGCTGTGCGTAAGAGCCCTGGGCATCGGGGGTCCCAGCCCAGTCTCCGCTGGGCCTGATGGAGATACCGGTTTGTCTTTACTTTGGAAACTAGTGACACCACTTCTCTTACTGGAACCACTATTCCCCTGGAGGCCCGGGCTGCAACCCTGCAGCCTCGTGCAAGCCTTCTCCTCGCTCAGTTGCCACACCGCCTCGGCAATGTCCCTCCCATCTGTCCTCTCCTTTCCATTTCCGTTACTCTCGATAAACCTTTTCCAAATTCTTGCAATGGCCTTCCAACCGGAGTCTTGATTTACCGCTTCGCTTCCAGTATGTCCTATGCCATTCTGCAGAGTACGCCTGACCGACGCAGAGCTCTGACCATCTCACAGCAGATACTTGAAAGTCTCATAGCGACCACTGCGGAGAAAACCCCAAGCCCCCTCCTCTCGCCTGGCATGAACCTGCTTCCCAGCATTTTCTCTGTAGCCCCCACACGGACTCTGCTAAACTAAGTGCTCCGAGAAAACACATCGCAGAAAAGCACTGGATGCATCTCTCGTCTTGATTCATGTCACGCCTCCTGCAGCTCCGCCCGTGGAAAGCCGGCTCGCCTCCACGATCCACCCGGACCGTGACCTCCTCCGAGGGGCCTCTCAGTCCTGGCCCCCCGGGGGCAGAGCCCACCTCTTCGCGACTCCAGTGGCATTCGCTTGCAATAGTCGCCACATTCTCCCATGGCAGCAGTGGTGCACGAGGCCACGAGCACAGGCCACGAGCACACTCTGTGGAGTCAGAAGGACTTACGCAGGCACCCATCCCTGTAGGGCCACGAGCAGCTTCTGGACTGGGATGAACATATGAACCCTCGCTCATTAACTCTCAGTCCCCTAACTTCCACGTCTGGATAAAGCATGGAAGATGTTCTGTGATTCATTACATAAAGCGTATAGTATTTACAAGTGTCGCGTAGTAGCCTCCAAAAACAATCGATATTTGCACTGCCTTCGATGTTTTGGGTACATACTTTACCTTTATTAAAAGATGACACATTCTTCAAAGCCAGGCATGATAGCTTATTTATCACTGTATGTCCTTTAAATAGAGCATCGCCACTAACTCGTTCTCAATTCAAATGTGAGATGTCCACCTACTAATAACTCTAATAAAATAAACCCGCAATGCCAATAAGGATCAAGCACTTACGACGTGGCAGAAGTTACACCTCACACATGCTATCTCTAAGCTTCCAGTAAGGTCAATATTATTATCCTTATTTAATAGAATGGTAAATCGAGACCTAGAGAATCTCAGTCGCTTTCCTAAGGACATCGGCTACTTTGTGTTGGAATCAGAACTCAAATTCAGTTCAACCTAACCCTAAACCCCCTTCCACTCCTACTGCAACGGGCTGCCTGAAACAGTCTCCGAGGAAAAGTCCACATTCCTTCTCCTTGTGATCAGAAAGAAACCACAGCCGCGACAAAGGCTTCATAACATAATTCAGATTCTCCCTACACAGGTGAGCGGCAGAAAACGGGATTAAAACAGGAAAAGCTCTTGTGAAGGTCTGAGAAAAAGAGAGCAAGAAATGACGGTTCTAAGACAGAATGAGGTAAAAACGACCCGGCAGGAGAGCCGGTGGCACAGGCGACAGCGCACGAGCAAAGCCTGGCGTTCTGTGCCAGCGTGGAAAGTATGTCGGAAAAATAAGAATTGGAAGTGACAAACGTGTTCCAAATCAAGACAATCGATGGGGGGGAAAAAAACAATTACAGGGGAAAAGGTGCTTTCGATATACTTTCGAGTGGATGTCATGAGACACTGTTGAAATTATAAGGGAAAAACAGTGTATTGGAAGCCCTGTAAGTATATTCACGGCATCCTCAGATCAGAGACCATAAGACAACCAACGCATCAGAACAGACGGAGGACGAGCGAGGGGCGATTAGAGACAAAGGTATGTGGTCCCAGCTCTAAACTTGATGTTCTAGTAGCGTGAATAGACTTCTTCAAAAAGCCAACGGCCTAGGGAGAATATAGGAAGAAGCAACTGGGAACTTTCTAAAAGCTACTAAAAAAAGGGATCAAAAGTCTAGGAGATCTTAGCTTGAGGACTTTTTTCTCCAGGGGTTCAAATTCTGGAAATCTTGCCTTACGGACAAAAGTTAGAAAAAACAAAAGACAAAACAAAACAAAAAACTACAGGAAACAAAACTTCAAAAAACATACCAGACGATTCTGTCCCACTACTTAAACCATTAGTATCTGAAAGCCTTTTCTTTTCTTTATAAATTAAAAAAAGGAGTTTAAAGTCTCTGAACTTAAGTTACATTTGAACGCATCTCATAAATACTTCGGAAGTAAGTATGTTCAAACGGCATGGCAGATTTATGGGATGGATTTCAATGGAAAGAGTAATCAAAGGGCATCTAAAATGTCGGCGTGGGGAAGAACGAACATCTTACACCGACCTGATCATCCATAACCAAATGACGTCATGTAGAAAATGACTAGTGCTTTCCCGGAGCATCATTTGCAGTGGGTCACGTGTGAGAAACGTGCCACGTCCCATCTGTACTTTGGGGAACAAAAGAGGAGAGAGGGGAGGAGAGGGGAGGAGAGGGGAGAAGCACCCGACCCTCTCCTTCCACCGCCTCTTAAACAGTCGTAGAAAGCAGTGTCTTTATTTATTTATTTTTATTTTTTATATGCCTACGGCACCTGGTCTTCCTAGGTGGTCTCCCATCCAAGTACTCACCAGGCCCGACCCTGCTTAGTTTCCGAGATCAGACGGGATCGGGCACATTCAGGGTACCATGGCCGTAGACCAGCAGAGTGTCTTTAGAGCCAGAAAAACAGTCATCTGAATCCTGGTTGTGTCATTTGCTAATTTTAGGATTTAGGACAAGTGCATGGTCATCTTGACTCTTAGCTTCCTTACTTGCTAAATGGAGATGATGTACGCCTCCTCCAATGCCTGTTATAAAGGAAGCGCTGAGGTGTGTGGATGTATTACGAGACTTTGGAAAGAGTCCTTAGTGCAGAGCCTGTTCTTTTAGTACAGGGCACAACTGTCTTCTGAAAATAGTTCCCTAACTTTAGTCACCTAGAGCAGAGCTGAATTAAAGCAGCGTCCATCGTCTCGACAGACTGTAACTAAGACAGATTAGATGAGATGAGCGTAAATGCTAAATCAAGTAGTCCGTTTTTCTGGCTTCTGCTCCATTTCATAATGGATAGAAAACTTCCAAGAACGAAAGGACATGATAAAGAATTTAGCTTATCTCCATTTTCTGAGATTTCATTATAAATTAGAAGTTCTGAAATGCATTGTTTTAATGACACCTATAACAGCATTAGAAATAAACAGCATATCAATAAGCATTACTCGTAATCTGTATTACGAATAAACACCATAATGCACCGATAAGAAAACAGGTCACTAGTCATAGCGATTGATCCCCTGGAACAGAGGTGACTAAGGTGGACCATCGAAGTGAAACTCCTTCGAAAACCGGGGTCACAGAGCAGCCCATCCAGCTGTGAGCTCTGAATCCGGCTCGTAGGCAGAAACCCTACTCTCGGGCCCTGTTTCCGCCTCGCGCCTTTACGCCGCTGCCACCTGTCAGCGTCACGTGTCAGGGCGGCGAGCACGGTTTTCCTTGAGTGCAGCTCTAGGAAACAGCACCATGAAAACTACTATTCAATTAACCATCGGGACGAGGAGATCGCAAAATCATCCCCTAGAACTAGACTGAATTTTCTGGATCTCGGCTCAACGTCAGTTGACCTTGCGCACCCGATTTAACCTTTACTGGGCTGTTACAAGGATCTAGGTTATTATTAGCTATTACTATTTTTAAATTATTATTGATATCACATACCCTAGTGCTTGACCATACGCTGTCTGATATCATCCTTTATTAACTTCTTACATAATTCTTAATGCCTAATTATCTTTTAATTTCTTTCTGATCAGAAGCCTCATTGAGCCTCCCCACATTCACCATGACAGTGTAAAACAGAGCCCAGGATTTCTGCTTTTTGTAATGACCGAGTAACATGCTACCAGACCAAGTGCCTTGCAGAAAACAACTGTAACATCTGAACTTCGTAGAGAAAGCAGATACCTGAAGACACAGAGGAGGGAACAAAAAAAAAGGAAGATTCTGGTAGGGCGTACACACCAGGAGGAGCAAAGACCTGTAAGCTCGATTTCACAGCTTTTAGCTTGCGGCCAGGTACACCGGCCGTGGCACGCAGGGCTGCAGGCACACGGGTGGCAGAACCAGTCTTTCTAGCCCGAAGAAGCAAAACGTCGAATCTGAGGGAACCAAAGCTGGGGGGATCTCTGAAGGACAGGAGCCAGAAAGGGAATCTCAAAGTTCCGTCTACCCACCTCTCCGGCTGACCGCTGCCCCCCGACGGTGCATAAGACGAAGCATCTCGGCAGAGGACAGTGTGACCTCCGCCCTTTGCGTGTGGCTGCACATACTGGCTCCCCTCCAAAGAACGCAGTGTGGAAAGGGTGATCGAGTGACACTTCTCCATAGGGGAATCTGGGGAAAGGACTTCGGCCACACGATCCAGCAGAGCGAAGTCACGCCGACTCTGTGCTCACTTGATAAGACCGACCGAATAAAAATGGCATTTTATCTCCGTGGTCTTCCTCTCGAAAACGCATGACCCTGGTCTACTCCCGAGAAAAGCATCAGACAAAACTCAGTTGAAGGACGGTCTAAAAACTACCTGACCGGTACGCCAAAAACCAGGGAAGTCTGAAAAGCTGTCCCCATCCAGAGTGACCTAAGGAGGCATAAATATAATGACTGGATGCAATGTGGGATTCTGAATCCCGAAAGAGAAAAAGGCCATTTGGCAAAAACAAAGAAAATCTGAGTGAAGTTTAGACTTT